CCACGCCAGATGGATAGAGAGGGCCATAGGCACAGTTATCTGGTGGCCACCATGTTATCTGAATTAGATTCCAATAGAGAATCATTGGGCCTTAATTGTTATAAAGTTCCACAGCAAAGTAAAGCAAAATGGAACAGCCGAAAAGCTGAAAAGGTCGATCATCGGCGCCCAGACGAATTTCGATCCTACTGTAATAGCTAATTTGGCTACCAGCATTTCAAAACGTATTATTGTGTTCCTTATGATTATTGGGGGGTCATCCCATTATTGAAAATTCGTGACGTTATAGTAAAATCTCTCGACAAGTGATGTGTAGTCATATTTGCGAAACGGTGAAAATACGTTCTAAGGAAGATATTTTAATAATTCTGAATCGAGATTTCTCCAGAAATCAAGTATCAAGGTTTTTCGTTATGGGGAAACTATTGGTAATAGCGGCATTTTCCAAAAATGCACAGCAACTTTGGAATAGCAAAAATTAGGGTGGACCTATATTTATGAAACGCAGTGTAGGTGCAGCATTACATTCGTGTACTATAGGACTGATCGACAAATTGCTGCACATGATACGTATGATAATGAATAATTCATGTTGGACCGCAGGAAGTGATATTTAAAAATTATGGGAACTGGCATAGCTGGCATAGCATAGCAAGGACCCCCGAAATCACATTGTGGAGATAATTCGCCACGTTTCGGGGAAATCCAGCTGGGCTACGTCACCACATCCATCGTATAGCCCTTACATTGCTCCATCGTACTATCACCTCCCAGCTCCTGAAGCAGCAGCTAGGAGAGAAAGTCAGTAAATACAACCACCCCAAAAACGACCTCTTCGAGCTTTTCATCTCACAGCTTCTCTCGTTCTGGGAGGAATGCATCCATTCGTTCCCTAGCAAATGGATGCATATCAGTGATTATGATGGTGGTTATGTTTTTGATCAATTGTTTTTTAGGAAAGATAAAACTTGAAGAAATCAAAGTGTTGAAATTCGGCCAGAAATTATGGGACAACCCAATAGTTGGCACAATTTCTTGTAGGAATGCAGAAAAACGTGAGACTAATGAATGAACAAGGTGATCAGGAAGATAGCTCAAGAGCACTTCCAATTGAATCAATTAAATATTTATTTCATAAAACATCAGTCGAATTCTGGATCAGAAATGTCATTGACAATAAATGTAAGTAAGCTTCGTTTCTGAGCAAGTACAGAGAATAATATTTGTGAAGTGTAGTTCAGGTATACGTATGCAAAAAATTTCCGAATGATTACTCTGCATAGGATGGGTCCATTTCTATGAAAAAAAGCTTGAGCCAAATCGCAAAAGTCAGAGGTAATGGATGCTTTCCACTTTAGTTGGTATCGTAGCCTTGTCCTTCAATT